ATATGGCCATTGCTCCTTGTCGAGTTCTTTTTCCAGACAAGGTTTTCCAGAAGAGGCGAAAGAACCGAAAACCGGGCACCGGCTTATCTAGAACATCACTGCTGCCTTGCAGTCCGCGCTTGGTTGCACAAAGGCTACAGTGCATCCTCAAACAAGGCTTCTCTGGACTGGGCGACCGAGTAGTACAATAGCCCACAACCCAGACGACTATGAACGTTCTCACTCTCATGATTTTGCACTCTAAACCTTCCACAATCGAAAGACTTTCTAAATCGCACATACCCTTTTGTCCTCCCAGCCTCCCCCAACTCACCTCTATCCTCTCAACTCTATTCCATTTCTCTCGGGTACTTCAGACGATCGTACTAGCAGTAGTGCCTCAGGCAGAAATTCTGCCGCTGTTCGCTCTTTTTCTACCTCGACTGCTGTCCAAATCTCACAGAATCCTCCACCAGCTGAAGCCCTTCTCAGCCCTCGACGTCCTTTCAAACTAGCCATGTTTAATGTGCGTATTCTGATGCGTAAAGGAAAACAGGCGTGTTTAGCTTTTACGCTCGAAACCCTAGCCATCAATGTGTGTTGCATCCAAGAAACTCGCATTCAAGAATCCATCTCCATTATCCGATTGGCGTCCCCGTCAGTGAAGTTTCACTTACGCCTCTGAAGCTGAAGCAGCCCTCTTGGACTGGAACCCAGTCGACAATAGGTTGTGGGCAGTGAGACTCAGAGGTTCGTGCAAGATAAGCAGCTGTCGCCACGATAGACGAAACTCGTTTGTCGTTTCGGCGTACCCTCCGACGGACTGTGGCCCAGATGCAGTCAAAGATGAATTTTATCACAATCTTCACGATCTCTTGCGTAAAGCGACCCGGGCTGGCATCGTGATTTTAGCTGGAGATATGAATGATAGAGTATACCGGTTGTTTTCAAGTGAGGCGCACCCGGGAGGTCCTTTTGGACTAGATTCCTGTCGCTCGGAAAACGGGGAGTGGCTGTTGGCTCTCTGTTCCGACCACCGCCTGTTCTTCGCCAGTACGAACTTCAGACGCTCCAACTACCGTTACGCTACCTGGTGTCCGTCGTCCTCGAGTCAGCGACAGACACAGATCGACCACATCGCGATAAGCCACAAATAGTGGGGTTGCATTCAAGACCACCGCTCTTACTGGAGCACTCCCCTCGAATCCGACCACGCATTACTACACGCTGAGCTGTCCATTTGCTTCGGTGGGCATTCCAAACGCAGGACACAGCGACGGTTAGACAGTGATAAGCTGTCCAAACCAGCTTGTCTAACTGTCTTCTAAAACGCGCTAACGAAAAAGCTAGAGCCAACCCCACCCGATAATAATAACCAGCACTGGTCGCTGATCAAGAATGCTCTGCCTTCTGCTGGCTTTGTTAGTTGTGATCTGACACGTCGGGCCGTGACACCCTGGATCTCTGCGGAGTCTCTATGCCTTCTTGACGCACGTCGATAAATTCCGACCGGCAGCGAGCATAATGAAACACTACTCGTAATGAGACGTGAACTTAATGCAAGCCTGCGCAGAGATCACGAAATCTGGTGGTCTCAATGCGCATCAGAGATGGAACGTGCTGCCGCCATGGGTAATCCCGTAAGCTGTTCCATCTCATCCGGGTCACCGGTAGGAAAGCTTTGGGTATGAGCGAAACGATCTGCGAAGGTGACGGTTCGCCTATTCACAATCAGCAGCGACGTCTTGCACGCTGGGCGGAGCACTTCAAAGCACAGTTTAGCTGGCCTCCAGCGTCAGCTTTTCACACAGCTATTCCGGCACACGTCCCATGGTCTGTCTTAACAGACCACCCTTCTGAGGCGGAAATCCATAAAGAGATCCAAGCCTGGGGACGTCTCAAAGCACCGGGCTTCGACGGCCTTTCCCCAGCCCTATTTAAAAATGGCGGAATAAAGCTTGTGAAAGAACTACAAGTTCTGTTCTCTAAAGTTTGGAACACTGAGCAGGTCCCCTCCTCGTGGGAGGGGGGGGGGATCTATTGTTGTCCCCATCTTCAAAAAGGGCCTGCGCGATGACTGCGGCAATCGTAGGAGCATAAGCCTTATCCCGATAGCGTCAAAGCTCTTGGCGTCCGTCATTCTCCGCTGATCGTACACTACGCGTGAGGAGCAGATCCGCGATGAGCAGGCTGGGTTTCGCGACAGTTGTGGATGCATCGATCAAATCTTCACTCTTCGACAGCTGCTAGAGCACCGTCCGGTCTAGCAAACGGTGGTGTCGAAATCCTCTTAGGGAACAGAGCTCTTGACTTGGAATATGCTGATAATTCATCTTGCTTAGTGACAACGAACAGGCAGTCCAACAAGCTTTACAACACTTGGCGATCGAGGTATTCAGGTATGGTATGTACTTAACACCATCAAAGTGCAAAGTGCTTGTTCAAGACTGGCAGGAGCCTCTGCTTGCACTCACCCTCTGTGGTGATCAGCTGGAAGTAGTTGAGAGCTTTAAGTACCTCGGGAGCTTGATCGCAGCTGGTGGGTGTGTTGGGGAGGTGATCACATCACGAATGGCAGCTTTCGTCAACCTGCGACACCTTTGGTGTCGCCATGACATCCGACTGTCCCTTGAGGTTTCGTAGTGTTCTCCTTTACGGTTGCGAGACCTGGCCCCTTCGCGGGGAGGATGCTAATCGACTTTCTGTATTTGACCACCGATATTTCCGAAGCATTGCTCTTGTCTGGTGGGAAAACCGGGTGAGTAATGAAGAGGTTCGTCGTCGTGTGCTGGATGCGGATAGTCGTTCTCTGACAGAAGTAATCGCTTTACACCGCCTCCGATGGCTTACTCACGTTTTGCGTATGCCTACCCATCGACTACTTTTCCGTGCTCTCTTCGCACGTGCCGGGCAAGGCTGGAAGAAACGCCGCGGCGGTCAGACCATGACATGAGCTAGAGGCATGAAGAAGCTGCCTTCAGCTTTGGCTTCGGTTGGTACAGCCAGCCAGGGGGCCCAAGGGATAAGGATGTCGTTGGTTAGAGATGCTGAGAGATATGGTCCAGAATAGAAGTCAGTGGCTCAAATGCTGTACGGTCTGCCTGTCGAAATCCCGTGCCCCGTAAAAAAATATCAGGTGTACGGTGAAACACACACAAAACATTTTGTTATTCCAGACATCTTCCATTTTCCAGTGCTTAAATGTTTCACCCCCTTTTCACCCTGTTC